TTTCGAAAAAAAGTCAAGATTATAGGCTTAGAAAAATCGACAAAATTTTCGAAGATTTTTCCTTTTAAAAGCAACTTGAATTATTTCTAATTGATCATGATAAACAAGGTATGTGCTCATAACTGGCATAAAAACCCCTATTTTTGAAAGAAGTACCGAGTTTTTTGAAGGAGCAATTTTTGAAAATAAGGTGAGGTTATAGGCTTAGGAAAATCGACAAAATTTTCGAAGATTTTTCTTTCTAAATCAACGTGATTTTCATCTCATTGATCATGATAAACAAGATATGTGCTTATCACTGGCATCAAACCCTATTTTTGAAAAAAGTACCGAGTTTCTTGAAGGAACAATGTTTGAAAATAAGGTGAGGTTATAGGCTTAGAAAGATCGACAAAATTTTCGAAGATTTTTCCTTCTAAAAGCAACTTGAATTATTTCTAAGTGATCATGATAAACAAGATATGTGCTTATCACTGGCATCAAACCCTATTTTTGAAAAAAGTACCGAGTTTCTTGAAGGAACAATGTTTGAAAATAAGGTGAGGTTATAGGCTTAGAAAGATCGACAAAATTTTCGAAGATTTTTCCTTCTAAAAGCAACTTGATTTATTTCTTATTGATCATGATAAACAAGATATGTGCTCATAACTGGCATAAAAACCTTTTTTTTGAAGAAAGTAGAGAGTTTTTTAGAGGAAAATTTTTTGAAAAACGGTAAGGTTAAAGGCCTAAAGAAATTTACAAAATTTTCGAAGATTTTTCCTTCAAAAAGCAACGTGATTTTCATCTTATTGATCATGATAAACAAGGTATGTGCTCAACAGTGGCATAAAAACACGATTTTTGAAAGAAGTACCGAGTTTTTTGAAGAAACAATTTTTGAAAAAAAGGTAAGATTATTGGCTTAGAAAGATCGACAAAATTTTCGAAGATTTTTCCTTCGAAAAGCAACGTGATTTTCATCTTATTGATCATGATAAACAAGGTATGTGCTCAACACTGGCATCAAACCCTATTGTTGAAAAAAGTACCGAGTTTTTTGAAGGAACAATTTTTGAAAATAAGGTGAGGTTATAGGCTTAGAAAAATCGACAAAATTTTCGAAGATTTTTCCTTTTAAAAGCAACTTGAATTATTTCTAAGTGATCATGATAAACAAGAGAAGTGCTCAACACTGGCATAAAACCCTATTTTTAAAAAAAGTACCGAGTTTTTTGAAGGAGCAATTTTTGAAAATAAGGTGAGGTTATAGGCTTAGAAAAATCGACAAAATTTTCGAAGATTTTTCCTTCTAAAAGCAACTTGATTTATTTCTTATTGATCATGATAAACAAGATATGTGCTCATAACTGGCATAAAAACCCTTTTTTGAAAAAAGTACAGAGTTTTTTGGAGAAACTATTTTTGAAAAAAAGGTAAGGTTATAGGCTTAGAAAAGTCGACAAAATTTTCGAAGATTTTTCCTTTTAAAAGCAACTTGAATTATTTCTAAGTGATCATGATAAACAAGATATGTGCTCATCACCGGCATAAAAACCCTATTTTTGAAAAAAGTACCGAGTTTTTTGAAGGAACAATTTTTGAAAATAAGTTGAGGTTATAGGCTTAGAAAAATCGACAAA